ACACTCCTCTCCCTTAATCTGACAAAACAGAAACCCACCCTGCCAACATAGTTCCTCCTAGACGTGTTCTCCTTATATCCAAGGGGTACAAGATCATTGCTCCAATGGGGGAAATAGATGGACGTTCTACAGAAAAGGCAAAGGATGGAGTTCGTACCCAGACTCAGAGCAGTAGATGAAAATGCTTCCCACTACAATTCATACTGCATAAAAAGGTCAGAAGCTTGAATAAATTATTTAGAGGAATAATTGCATCCAGTGAAGTGTTACTCGCAGTGATAGGGGCAATTCTTGGTATTACTGCACTTCCGTGAAATGGCCAAGTTGTAATGTGGAAACACAGAAATGAATTATTGAAACAGCTTCACCATCTGATGACTGGGTTTATTTCTGCCAATAAAGCAATGGTTGCCCATACTTAACATTTGAAGTATCCTTAATTGATATTGGTGAGGCTAATTTTTTTTGCCATGAATGTTTTGTTTTCCAGTAATTTATATGGTTTTTTGACAGAGCTGCTGATTAATAGGATCAGATGTCTGACCTTGATCTCTTTCTTTGAAAAACTGGATAGGTATGGTGTCAGCTAATCTTCTTATCAACCTCAGGATACCTTGGAGGCAAAGCAGATTTGCAGGTTCCTGACATGTTCCATTACCTTGTAACCATGGATTGTTGGTGACTATGAAGTCAGGTAAACATTACACTGATATGAAATGAAAAATCCTCCCATCATCCTTGGGAGCTTGTTGATGAATTTCCGTCTCATTAAACAGAACTGGGACTTTGAATTCAAGTCAACTGACCTTGAAAATGTACTTCCTCTAATCTAGTATGGATGTAAATTGGGCTAATGTTTGGACTGTTGGCTATAAAACAAAAGAATGATAGCTTCCTCCCACACTGTCCTGACCACCAGTTTCAGGTGTCATCTTATGCCTTGGAACTCTTACTGCCCTGCCCACAAAAGTGAGGCAGGTGGTGACTAGCGATGGGGTCTTCTCAGTAGTGGCACCTTACCTGTCGATTACCTCCCCCACTAAAGCTTGCCTGGTGCATACAGTATTGATTTTTAGGCACCAAGCCAAAACATGCTTGTTCATTCAGTCTTTTCACTGAGTTCCATCTCCATCCCTTTTCTCTCCCTGTTTGTTTTTATGTCTGCTTTTACACTTATTTGAAACCGCTTGTTACCATTAAAAATACTGGTGATGGATTTTACTGCTGAAGCTTTAGCTTACTGATTTTTTCCTTGTTATATTTCTGGTTTCAAATTATTAGTTATTCCTCATAAGCATAACTCATTAGCATATGCCACCCCCCCTGACATCACCGGAAATGTGTCATAAGGCCACACACCCCACACCCAACGGTCCCAGCCGCCGCCACTGGCCTTGCAGCTCCACTGCCGAGCCCCATGAGGGGCCCGGCGGTGGAACTGCAAGGCCGGCAGGAGTGCAAGGAAGCCCCGCGAAGGCCCTCCCTGGCCCCAGGCAGGCAGGGGTGGGGAGAGGCAGGGAGGAAGCAACTTACCCTCCCTTTTCTCCTGCCTCCTCCTGGCTGAATGAAGGCTGGAAGCGGGGCAGCCGGAAGCAGGGGCGGGGCTTCGTCATGTGCCCCGCCCCCTGTATCTCACCCGGGGGAACTGCGATCCCCCGCGATCCCCCCCGAAATGACCTCTGGTTATTCCATTATTTTATGCTCTTAGCTGCCTCAAGAAGATTCTGGAGAAGTGCAGGATATAATTATTTTAAAATAAATAAATACTGTTGAGAATGTCAAAAACTCCTAAATTTGCTTGATTCTGATCACATGCTCTGGGACACTTGACACCAATAAATTCTTTTCTAACTTTTTAAATTTTAGTGCTGGCCATCAGGTATCCAGCAATTTCAGTTCAATCTGTAGAATAATTAATCTAATAAGAATCAATGAACACAAACACAGTAAAAACGGAGGGCTGTAGCTATTACAGCAGCTTGATTAGCCCAGACCACCCTCAGCTTGTCAGAACGTGGAAGCGGATAAGGGCTGGCCATGGTTAGTACTTGGATGGGAGACCACCAAGGAAGTCCAGGGTCACTAGGCAGAGGAAGACTATGGCTTAACCACCTCTGCTCATCTTTTTGTCCTTGAAAATCCCTTAATGGGTCACCATAAATCTGTTGTGACTTAAAAGGCACTTAATTATTATTATAGTTATTCCTGATTTATTGTGCTTGCTCTACTCAAAGGTACAACATGTGAACGCACACGAAGCTGCCTTATACTGAATCAGACCCTTGGCCCGTCGGTCTCCTTGAAAGGGCAGTTGCTCTCCAGGGTCTCAGGAAGATGTCTTCCACACCACCTGCTGCCTGATCCTTTAGGTGGAGATACCACGGATTGAAGCTGGGACCTTCTGCATGCATTACAAGGCAGGTCCTCTGCCACTGGGCCACAGCCCCTCCTCCGTTAGTTTAGTATTGGGGGCGAACCTGTCACCTTCCATAGTACTTAGATGTATAGTGTTATATGAGTGGTCCATTATGTGAACGGAAAGCTTGCTGTGAGATAAGAGAGGAACATTTTGTGAGTCTGCCCAAAGGCAGTGATGGTTATAGCTAAAAGACAGCAGAGCCATGGTCAATGGAATCATACTATCAGAAGATCTGGTAACAGTGATTTATTTAAGTGGCTTTTTAAAAGAATGAGACCAAAAAATGAGATATATCTATTCATGGCTACTAGCCATGGCCAATTCAATGGACCCTCTACAAGCAGAGGCAGCATTTTGATTGACAGATGTCAGGGACAAACCATTGAGGGTGGCCATAACTGTTTTCCTTTGCTTGTGACCTGCCAGCAGCATCTGCTTGGTCACTATTCAAAACAGAACACTGGAACACTGATTTGCTGGGTCAGGCCAATTCCAGAATGTCTCCCACATGCTCAGCATGGTTGTCCTCCCTCAGGATCTTGCTAAGGGTAGGTTCAGACAAAAATCCCATGCAGTAACTACTTGAATGCTTCCAGAGAGTGTCATAACTGCATGAAGAACCAGTGGCCTTCATTCAGGCTTCTGATCATTTGAACTCACAAAGAATTGCTTTAAAGGATAACAGACACAGAATATGCCTACTTTTTTCCCAGTGCTGAATTCTCCATGTTCATTACTATTACCAGCACTTTGCAGTGCTTTGGTGGGATTATTGTTCATCCTCACACCATACATGGAAACAGAGAGCTAAGAGGGAACCGAGAGTCATCTAGTCCAACCCCTGCACAATGCGGGAAATTCACAGCTACACCACCCACTCCCCCAGTGACCCCTGCTCTATGCCCAGAGGAAAGTGGGAAACCTCCAGGATCCCTGGGCCAATGTAGCCTGGACAAAAATTCTTTCCTGACCCCAAAACGGATCCCTATGGTGATCACTAGGTACATTGCAGAAGATGATGGTGGTTTCCCAGAGAGCCCAAAGCTGAACCCAGGGCTCCTTGGAGTCTATACAACATCCTGTGTTTTGGATTCAGTATTACTTTCTGCCCCCTCTTCCTTGGAAAATATCAAATCAGTCTGGGCTGTGGATGTAGTGCTTAGTCATTGCTGCACTATATCACCAAATGCCTCCAGGGCAAGGGCTTAGCATACCAGTGGAAGGCATAAACCTTCTTAATTTCCTTTCTTCTATAAATATTTCATTTGATTCCTTGAGAAGGCAATAGCTAACTTTTATTGCATCTGAGATTCCAAATGATCTGCCATCTGTCTTTCTCATAAAGTATCTTGTTTTTTAAAATGCCACTTCAGTAGAGAGCAGAGGCACCCTCCTTCTCCTCTCAGTTCTCGTTCGATTAAAGTTTCAAAGCACAACTTATCACTAGGATTCTCCTGAGAGGCTGCAATTTGTTGAGTTCTATTTTAAGCCACACATTTTCCTTAACTTGGATAGCAACACACCTCATGCTATAGTTGATCCTGTTATTAGATAAACAATAGCAAGCTTCAATCCCCCCCCAGTAGATTATCATGATCTATTTACAAAATCTTACTTATCCCTTACAAAATCTACTGCATGCTTCTGCAAAGGAATTTTCTGTTAAAGGAAATGAAAAGTTGGGGCACAGTTTTTCTGCTTGGTTCCATTAATGGGCTCAAAATTAAGATCCAGAGGGAAAGAAGTACAAGCTAGCAATGCAATCCTAAACAGAGTTATGCTTTCCCAAACCCATTTATTTCAGTGGCTTTAGAAGGGTGCAACTCTTCTTAGGACTGCGCTGTGGGTGTTATAAGCAATGTTCAATCCCCCTTCCATGTGTTATTATCCAGCTACCTGTAGCTACTGTTAGAATCCCTGCACTGATATTTATGACACATTTAAATCCAGCGTGTAAAGATACAACCCTCTGACTCAGGCAAAGAATACAGCTCCATGGCCTTTGAAAAACTGGAATTATATAGTAATCAGCAAAGGATAACTAAAAAAAGGGAGGGAGGGACACTGAGGACAATCAGAGAAGGCAGATTTTTCCCTGGCCAGCAAAAGAAGCTAAGTTTAGACTCGCATGCAAGAATCACCTTGAAGCATTAAGCCCTTAAATCTGCATTCCACAGGTTGTATATTAAAATAATACAAAAAGGAAAACCGATTTAGTCTCTATCCAATATGACACCTGGATGCTGTTGCTTCCCCCCAAACATAACTGACTACATTTTAGACTGCAGGGTTACATGATGTAAGGCACTGCAGTGTTAGGGGAATCTTGACGCTTTTCGTTTGGCACCGGCAAATGAAAAGTCAGCATATTGTAAAGAAGATGAACATCACATACACACATACACACACAGACACACAGACACAGACAGACACAGAGAAATGCACTTTGCAACAACCCCCTCCAAGTCAATTGCCGCTTGCAATGCAACCGTTACCTACATCAAGGCATCAGAGTTAACTGGTTAGCTGCCTGCTCTCGGAATTAAAAAGAGGAAAACAAAAAAGAAGGGAGACAAAGTACCGTCTTGTCCAGGCAGTAATAAAGCTTGCAGCAGCCGTGGCCCATCCTGGTAGGCTTGCTGAAAAAGCAACCAGCTTCATTCAGACTCTCAGAGTGTTTAATTCCTAAGCAGCAAGAAGGCACCCCACCACCACCACCACCAAAGGAAGAGGTGAGCTGCTCACAACTGCCACAACTTGTGGTCTGTCAGGGTTCCCCCTCCAACTACCTGGCTTTCCTTCCCCCCCTCCACTTATTAACTTCAGGAATGCAGGAAGAGAAAGAGGAGGTGGAGCAAGCAGAGAACAGCACATCGAAATCCTGCCAGAGAAAAGGGAGAGAGGGAGGGACATTTTGCCACCGGACGCCTCCTCCTCCTCCTCCTCCTCCTCCTCCAAGCCAGGCCGATCGATAGAAAGAAGCCAGGGGAATATTCGATCAGTTTTGCCGCTCTCTGAGGGTGGCCGGAGAATGCTCCTCCCTGCAAAAAAAAGGGGCAAGGCTCCCAGTCTGCCCTTCCCAGCCCTCTCTCGCATCCTCCTCCGAGCCACTGTGCTCATCCTTGCCTGCCTTAACAAGCAGAATGTAACAGGCAATGAGACTGGATGGATGCGGCACAGACATAAAATGAGGATATAAAACTCAGTCGCAGAGAGACATCAACTCACAGTAGGCTAGATGCCAGTGAGGGGAGATGCCTCTGCTCAGTGGTATATGCTCTGCATACAAAAGAGCCTGGATTTCAGTCCTTGGCATCGCTACCAGGTTGCTGGGCTGGGAAAGTCCAGAGACCTCCAATCAGAGGAGGCAGCAGAACCGAGCTAGATCAGCCAATGGTGGGATTCAGTAGAAGACGTGTGCTTGCAAATCTGCCGGCTTGCGTGTGCAGATGCCACAGACTGAATTCAGGCTTCAATGAAACTGCACACTGCTGATGTGCAGAAAAATGAACACCAAGCCAGCATTATCTCCAGAGTCCACAGAAAGGACAGGAAGGGCCACAGTTCTGATATATGAACATGGGTATGTGTCAGCATGTCATGTGGATCTGAGGAGTTTCAAGATGAAGTGAGGGAGAGGCAGACACCAAATTAGCAGCTGGGAACGTTGCGTGAGAAAAGAAAAGAAAAAAATTGTTCTCACAGATGGAGTAAAAAGGAGTCAGGCAAAAGGAATCAGTGTATCCTGTCAACCACTTGGCTACTAGGATATGATGGGCCCTTTTAGTGTATGGTCTTCAACCTCTGGTAGCCTGAATAGCTCTGAGTAACCCAGCATCAAGTCTTAAAAGATGATGCTATTAAAGTGCTGCACTCAATTTGCCAGCAAATTTGGAAAACGCAACAGTGGCCACAGGATTGGAAAAGGTCAGTATACATTCCAATCCCAAAGAAGGGCAATGCCAAGGAATGTTCAAACTATCACACAATTGCACTCATATCACACACTAGCAAGGTCATGCTCAAGATCCTACAAGCTAGGCTTCAACAGTACGGGGATAGAGAACTGCTAGAAGTGCAAGCTGGGTTTCGAAGAGGTAGAGGGACTAGAGATCAAATTGCCAACATTCGCTGGATTATGGAGAGAGCAAGAGAGTACCAGAAAAACATCTACTTCTGCTTCATTGACTATGCTAAAGCCTTTGACTGTGTGGATCACAACAAATTATGGCAGGTCCTTAAAGAGATGGGAGTACCAGACCACCTCACATGTCTCTAGAGAAACCTGTATAAGGGTCAAGAAGCAACAGTTAGAACCGGATATGGAACAACTGATTGGTTTCGCATAGGAAAAGGAGTACGGCAAGGATGTATATTGTCACCTTGCTTATCTCTCCCTTATATATAAAGCGGTAGTGGGCTCCAATGTTCCAAATGCACACCTTTAGTGTTTGGCCGCAAGAACTGTCAGTCAGAAGACGCTGGCTGGGTTGACTGGCTGCTTTGTGCAGTCCCGCCCAGCGTTTCAAGGTCTTTTGAATATGGAAGCTGATTGGACTTCACTCCATTCCACACCTCAAACTCCCCCCCCCGCAAGG